AGCCAAATTTGTATCTTGAATTTCTAGCGATTAGATGTCTGTGGCGTTGAGCGCTTCTGGCCATTACGCTTGTTTACGCCGACTTTTGCGAGTCAGAACCTTCTTGTTCGTTAAACTATCCTGTGAGCCGTTAGGCTTAACTTATTACATTTAATTTTAAGCTCATCGTTACCTGATTTGAATTAAGCCAGAAGCATAAGGTTTTGTGTACGCTCAAGTGGGGTCATCTGCGAAATTCTATTGAGTTAATAAAGGGTTCTTTATACTCTTCTCTGGAGTTATCGTATTTAAGACCTGAGGATAATTCCTAAAGTCTTAAATACGATAACACAGTCTTTTAGATGTCGTTAGTTTATATTATCGAAGAAAACGAAACTTTATAAGGTAGAATAAATTCCATAAAAACGTCATGCTTTTGTTGTACAGACAAAACTAATAATGTAAAGAATCAAACACAGTTAAACAGAAATATTATTGTAGAATAAGGATTATGAGTCTTTTTTTTTAAACACTTCGTGCCTTTCTCATATTATTTTCGGGTACAAAAACTTTGCTTGACTAAAGTTTTTCATGTTTCCTAAATGAATACTATTGCAGAACTCATTGCTGTCGGATCCCCACTAGTGGTCATGTGGTTAAGACACCTGGATATTGGTAGTACTAATTCCAGACGAACAGGCTGCATGCGTGGTTGGTTCTAATGGTTTCCCCCTATGTAACTTGAATACAAGCCAGTGTCCATGAAAGTTCTCTATGAAGATATGCCTCCTCTTTCGTAGATAGCCCTCGTGAGCTTTGCGATATTCAGATAACATAATGTTATTATCGGAATCATTAATTGTGCTGCGACTTGTTTGAATTATAACCATTACTTAAATTGCAAATAATAATTGTTAATATTTCCAACTGCATTTTCTGTAATATTTTTGATTTTCTAAATAAACAATCTTTGTTGCTGCTAAATTACGTTGTGAGAGAAATTAACAACAATATTTCATTTAAGATGTTTCGCAGTATATGATAGATCTTCTCAGGATTTCTTTTTCCTTCCAGGATGAAAGGGAAGGGCAAAATGTTAGAATTAATTTGCGAATAATTTAGTAAAGACTCATAGCAAATAGTTTATGTGCCAGATTTATATGTGCAAAAGTAATTCACATCATGTCCCTTTAATTCTCTAGTTTTAATTCTATTTCTTTGCGTCGTACCTCTTAAACTTCAGCTACTCTGTTTAATCCTTCTCGTTACCCTCTAGTTTCTGCTGCCGTATCTTATCAGGTCTGCGATGTTATCACCCCTAGGTATTTCGCATCCTATTAGCTCGCATTAGCAAATTAATCCTCTTCTTCGCTGTCTATTCTTTTCTTTCTTGTATAAGGCGTATTTGGTTGATGTTTGTATTTCCTTTTAATTTTAGGAATGATTCTAGTTTTACAGAACAGAGCTCATTTATCTTTTCTCGAAGTGTTAAGTTCACTATTAAAATTAAAATGAAACCCAAAGAAATACGACTAAAGTTATCAAAGCAAAATATAGTTTTGGAGCTATATAAATAAGCAAATATCTACGCAACCTTATTTGGTATAATTTTTGTGTTCTCAAATTGTTGATAATGTTACTTAAGAGGTAATTTTTATGCGTACATTATAAATAATTATATTTTGCTTTATAGAATTCTAATCCGTGAGATTCTTATAACTAAGTTTGTGAAATTTCATCAAAATCTAATAAGAGTTAATATTTTATTTTCTCCAAATTTCCCTTTATGCCTAATTTCGTCACGCACTCATTCGGTCGAGAGGCTTCCGCACATTTTTGAGAGCCGCTGTCTAGTCTAAATGAAGAGGAAAAATCCCATCTGGCATGACTTATGGTAAAGATTTTTACTGTTATTATTGCTGCCAAAAGCACAGGTCTTTGTAATCTTGGCAAATGTGGAATTTATTGAAGGAGGTTTTTTTCGACCCAGATGTGATTTGTAACTTCAAGCAGGAGTACTGGTGTTGTAACCAGTTAAATTATTACGCGTCTCCAGCCAATACCTGTAGGTAAAAAAGAATTGGATTTTATGCTTGTATAATTTTAATTTAACTTACATTGAGAAAATAAAGTTAATACTTTATATTTTTCCGTGCTTGTCCTTCAGTCAATCTAACTTAAGAATTATAACTCGCCATAACAGTAAAGACAACACCTGGGGGCGAGTGTTTGAGAAAGGTACTTAAATAGTTAGAAGGCTACCACTCGAATGTTTATAATTTTATTGCTCAGACTTAAAGAACACATGATCTCAAATGATTGATAACCGCTCAGTAGTCTAGTTGTTTTCATTGTGATGATTAGACAAGTGATTGTTTTAAGTAAAAATTATCGAAATTTTAAATTTCCGAAGCATTATCTGCAAAAGAAGTTTTAATCAGTAAGTTGTTTCTTGCTGCATTGCATAATTTTAAAGAGACGTGAAGATCAGATCTGGAGTTCACACTGTTTCTGCCAAACATGAGCAAAAGTGAATGATCTAAAATCTACTTTCTGATGAAAATAATTGCCCAAAATGCCTTTTCAGTGGGATGCACATACAGTTAGACACAAAAGTCTGCGTACAGACTAAATTTTAAATTAAAAGAAACACTTAAAGCATAGAAAAATGTATTTTAATCATTGCATGTTTTTTCTTCTATTAGCTAAATCTGTAAGCTTAAATAAAAAGTAAATAATATCAGTGTAATAATTTTTACATTTTTTTCAAAAATATATTTTGTAAAAAAAAGTCAGAAATTCCCTCCAATAAGTCTGCGTACACTTTAAAAAAAAAGCAAAATATAAGTTTTTTACATTACTTCAATACTTTGTAAGATATCCTTTATTCTTCAAAACAGCTTGCAGACGTCTGGGCATTGACTGAACTAGTTTTTCAGTGTCATCCGACGTAAATTTTGCCCATTCTTCCTGCAATTTACTAATTAGCTCATTTCGCGACGTAATATTGTGTTTTCGAATTCGTTTCTCCAATTTTGCTCACAAATGTTAAATTGAATTGAGGTCTGGTGACTGTTGAGGATTACGCAACTGTCTTGGAGTGTGATAGAGGAAATATTCCTTCACAATTTTAGCTGTATGTTTCGGGTCGTTGTCTTGTTGGAAAATAAAGGTATTAGAAAAAATTTAAGTTTCTGCACTGTCTCGTAGATTTTTCTTCAGAATATCCAGATAAACATACTTATCCATGACTTTATCAATAACGTGAAAATTTCCAACTCCTTGCGACGACATATACCACCATACCATCACACCGCCAGCTCCATGTTTGACAGTTGGATTTAAATTTCTCAGATTCAGTTCTGTTCCTGGTTTTCTCCATACAATAGGGTGGCCATTAACTTTAAATATTGTAAATTTACTTTCATCTGATCAAATTACATTGTTTCAGAAGTCCTGCGAAGAGTTTAAATATATTTTGGCAAAAGCAATTCTTTTCTTTCTATTTGTCTCGGAAATGTATGGCTTAGACCAGGGGTCTCCAAACTACGGCCCGTGGGCCACATCCGGCCCGCGGACAGATTTTGTCCGGCCCGCGGAGAGCTAGCATACTTGAAAACTCCTTTTAGAGAACATATTTTTTATAGCAAATTAAATTTAGTTTACTGAAGTATTCTAATTTTATGTTGAATAATTATTAATATGACATCTACATTGATATGGTCATGGGCTAACTACTCATAACATTGTTGTAGGCTTATTGTTATTGTTTTTGTGATAAGTTGGATAAAGAAACACAGAATTGTAATGAGTAAAGACATGTATATATATGCAGAAAATTTAACTTCAGTACAAATAACTAACAAATTATTGAAATGAATCCAACTAACATTTTATACATTTTAAATAAAAACATAACTTATAACAAGCATAATGACATATGAAATACTAATGAGATTTATGTAACTGAGATTTTCCACTGACAATAGTTTGTAGCTGTGGACTAATTTTACTTGTACCAATTATTAAAATAGATTTAAGATGCTCATCAGTTAATTTAGATCTGTAAACATTTTTTGTGTACTTCATTTTGGAGAAGGTCTCTCACACAAATAAGTAGTACCAAAAACAGAAAACAGCCCACGAGCAAATTTATGCAAATTATCAAATTGTGTCAGTGGAAGACTCTTATAAAATTCCAACAAAGATGAGTTTTGATATTTGTTCTTAATTATATCAATGCACTGTAGATCAATCATTTCCATTTGAAGTTCCGGGGCTAGGGTTTCAATGTCAGTATCAAAAGGATTCTGAAAAATCTTAATTTGATTCGCAATGGCATCAAAGTCCGAGAAACGAGTATCAAAATTTATTTTCAAAGCACTCAAAGTTTCGATTGCAAAATCAATAGGAAACTCAGTCTCAGTGGTGTAGCTGAATATTTCACATGTTTTAAAATGTGAAAACATTTACTTCGTAGTTTGTGATTGAAACAGTATCAATTTCTTCTGGAATGATTTGATATTAGTGTATAAATCAGGAAGATGCTGGTTTTCTCCTTGCAATCTCAAATTCAGTTCGTTCACATGTTTTGTCAAATCAACATAGAATGCTAACTTCCACAGCCATGCGTTGTTTTGTAATTCAGTAAGAGGGCGATGCTTTTCATTCAAAAAAATTTCGATCACTGCTCGAAATTAAAAAAAGCGCTGAAGAACTTTCCCACAACTAAGCCAACGTACGGCAGTATGATAAGGTAAGTAATTTTCTCCAATCTCTTCAATAAATTGTCGGAATTGTCGGTGATTCAGCCCAAAAGATCTATTAAATTAACAGTTGATATGACTGGTTTCAGAACTTCAGACATATCCAAACATTTCCGCACAAGGACTGTTGATGAATGATACAATGTAAGACTAATGGTTTTGAACCACCATCATTTTCTACAGCCTTTGACACAAGAGCGACCACTCCTTTATCTTTCCCACTCATGTTTTTGCCTCCATCAGTTGTAATACATTTCAAGTTTTTCCATCGAAGGTTCTTTGATTAATGGCCATTTCAACTCCTTTAAAAATATCTGTACCAGTAGTTGTGCCATGAATACTATACATATCAAGAAGTTCTTCATGCACTTCATAGCTTTTATCTACTCCTCGAATATAAATCAACACCTGAGCAGTATCTGACACATCCGTTGACTCATCCAAGGCCAAAGAAAACCACTCAACATGTCCATTTTTGTCGAACAGTTGAGAGGATATATTTTCAGCAATGTTTTCTACCCTTCGAGCCACAGTGTTTGCTGACATACTGACAGTTTTTAATAAATTTACCTTTTCAGGGCATATTTCTTCGGCTACTGCAATTATGCATTCTTTGATCATTTCTCCATCGGTGAATGGTTTTCCACGTTTTGCAATTTCAAGAGCCACACGAAAGCTGGCACAAGTTGCAGCCTCTTGTTCAGTTTTGAGTTTTGTAAATGAAGATTGCTGCGATTTCAATCCGCGTTTCATAGCTTCGAATTTTTCTGTCCGCAAACTCCCTGTATATTTTGAGTAATTTCGAAAATGTTTTGTTTCATAATGACGTTTAACGTCATTATGAAACATTCGAAAATGTAACGTTCGAAAATGTAACATTCGAAAATGTTTTGTTTCATAATGACGTTCTTTGAGAACGGCTATGCTTTCATTGCAAATCAAACATAGCGCCTTGTTACTGGACTCAATTACGAAATACTGAATGTTCCACTGATCTTTGAATTTTCTGCATTCACTATCAATTTTTCGCTTCTTTTCCATACTACTAAATCACACACAAAAGCAACAATTCAAATCAAATACTGTTACAAAGATGTCTTAAACTTAAACACGCACAAACACGTTTTTAAGGAGGTATGCACTATTTTTATTCCACAACAGTGTCATAGGAACTGACTTCTGTACGTGCTATTAGCGCCATCTGTTAGTGATGGAAGGTACTACCTATTTCCGCTTGTGTCCACCAGATGTCGTGTCACGTTACTCCTCATGGCTCGTACTCTACGACTAATCTAGAAATTACAGATAATGACAGGAAAATTAATAATATGCAGTGCTGCCGTTTTGCGGACTTTAGTCCGATTTGCAGCCTTTTTTAAACGTTGCGTACTTTTTCGGACTTTTTTATTCATCAGTGGACTATTTCACTTTTTACCACCGGCAACAATGATAATATGGTTTTGGTCCTCGGAACTTACTGGAGTAATCAGTATGGCCCTAAGGCTGGAAAGTTTGGAGACCCCTGGCTTAGACCTATGTTTGCGTCCATAACAATCAGACTTTCGCAGCACTTTTCGTACAGTTTCAGGAGAAATTTCCTTGTTGCTAGTTAAAAAAGTGTCTTTTGCAATGCTTGCAGCAGAAAGTTTAGGATTTTGTTTAATTCTTAAAAGAATTTTTCTTTCTTCTCTCTGCGTTAGCTTCTTCGGTCTCCCACATCTTGATTTCACAGCAAGACTACCAGTGTCAAGATAGTTTTGAATAACTCTCTGCACACTAGAAAATGGTTTTCCAATGGTTTTACCAATATAACGAAGAGTTTTACCTTCATCTCTCAATTTGATGATTAGTTGTCTCGTAACTAAAGGAATTTCTTTATTGGTTGTCATTTTCGTCAAAGAAAATAGAAATAACAACTTCCAATCAAAGTGAAATTTGCTTCGGAAGTCAATGACCTTGAAAGTGTAACCTTCTTTGCCTTCTCAAGTTTGAAGTTTAAAAGTTAAATAAGAAATCCCCCTCCTCCTTCGCGTTGTACGCAAACTTCATTGGCACTGATTTCTGGCCACTTATCTTTTAAAAATTAGTGTGCATAAATTATTAGATATGAAAGTATTACAGTTAAATAATTTCAAAGTCCATTATTGAAACTAAATATTTAAAAAATAAAACTTTGAGAAACTACCCTCTTCGCAACTTAAAATTTGGATTTGATATTACTTTTCTTGATGTAAGCAGACTTTATCGACTAACTGTATACTGAATTTAGTTAAATCAAAGCACTTCAGTTTTCATAAAAGAAACAGAATTCAAAGCTGTAATCTGTGTAAAGCAGATTTCGGGCACTGCAGGCCTTGGCCCATTAAGGCTGTTACCCCACTGAGTTTTAGTTTTTTATATATCTATGCGCATTTCTCTGCAATGCAAAGCGCTTCTAATAGAATTGATGTACGGCTTATTATCTTACATTATGCATTTCAAAAATGTTTGTTGGGTCTTAAATGTATGGTTCATAAAAATGAAACCACAGTTATATAACTTATTTAAATAGTGAAAGTAGTACTAAATAAATATATAAATTGAATGAAATTTACAAATGTTTGATTACTTTTGCTACAGGTATGTATGAAATTTATATATAGCTGAAGTGATGGGGACTTTCGAGTTCAGTAAATAAAATTATACCATTTCCGGACACCTTTAAAAATGTACAATCCGCTATAAATGGTTTTTTTGTTTAGGTTTTATTTAATTACGCAAAGCCTCGAGGGCTATCTGCCTAAGGGGAGGGATGCCTTCGTGGAGGACTTCCTAGGGGAAACTGGCTCGTATACACGTTACACATGGGGAAAACCACGAAAACGCCCATGCAGCCAGCCCGTTCGCGGGATTCGAACCTCGGACCGAACTACCAGTGTTCAGCGACTTTACCACTCTGCCGCTGGTGGGCCCGCTGTTAATGGAAATTAATGGTATATATACTTCAAGTTGTTTTACATTAAATATTCTCTGTAGAATTTTCTCTGGAAGGCATTGAAATATATATAATGGTCCCGAATCAAGCTAGATATGTAAAAAGTAAAATTGTGATGATTAGATCCCCGTGACTAGTTACACTACTAGTTAAAAAATGTGTTACCTAGTACAGTTTCGGCGACGTGACGTCAATCAGTATATCTGCCGTCGTCATAACTGACTATTATACTTTTGTCTGCCTTATAACTGATTTCATTTGCGCCACGGAATAGCAATTATTAAATGAAATCTGGTTAAAGAAAATAAACTTCTAAGCAGTAACGTACTAAATCGTCTCATGTACTTTCTAAACTTGCAATATAGATGAACTTTTATTGCTCCTTCAGGTTGAAGTTTCTACACATATCTATGACTTTTACTTGTGCATTGTGATTTGTGCTAATTTCACCAAAATCGTGATTCTCGAAGAAATGGGAGGTCTTCATGGAAGGTTTTGATAAATTTCTCCCTTATATCAGATACATATGAGCACGTTTCTTAAAAAATCTTCCTTGAAGTCTTCCATGCTGGATTAGATAGCATTCACTTGTTTGCAGTAAATAAAGGCCTAAATTAGTTAAAGCGTTTATTCATTTTGTTCCTCTTATTACATGTTATGCACATAAAAATTAATGTTTCATACCAGGTACGATTACCCTTGAGTAATAAGCTCGGTTGCTTGGAGATTTGACATTTTCCGCATGTGTAATATAAATACGAGCCAATTTCTGTTATTTGATGTTCGAAGAAGTCTTCCTACATTTCAGTAAATTATCTTTGATTTCACTGCTATAATTGAACTAATCAATCACATCAAAAGCGGTGGCCACGTTTAAAAAGGTTTATTCTAATATAGGCACTGAAAATATTTTCGTTAAGCTCTACCTCATAATTTCTTTCCGTAATTGCTAAACCAGCAATCGAACTCGCAGTTTGACCACTTACATATGATTTGAGATATTTAAATTTATCTATTTTAGAAAGAGTAGAACTGTTATCGATAGCCGACTCAAACTGACCAAAATTTCTAACCACAATGATTGATACCCGTAAAATTAAGACACAATAACACGCCGAATAAATACTGATTCAGAAGTCAAACAACAAAAATCAGCGTTAATTCACAAAATTTTCACAGGACTAGTTTCGATGATTTTACCGAACCATCATCTTCAGCTGCAAAAGATTTGCGGTTTTGCAGCTGAAGATGATGGTTCGGTAAAACCATCGAAACTAGTCCTGTGAAAATTTTTGTGAATTAACGCTGATTTTTGTTGTTTGACTTCTGAACCCGTAAAATTGCTTAATATGTAGTTTAGAAAGTTTTACCGTTCCGCTTCCATTTACAATAAGTGGAGAATGATGTGGAGTGTCAGACGTTTCAGGACCCTTCAAACTCACGATTTGATTTCTAACTTTATACTTCCATATTGAAAGCTTTTCTGACTAATCTATGGAAGTAGCTACATCATTTTCAATTTTAGTAACAGGCAACAAAGCCTCAATACTTAAATCATTTAGCGCGCTTTCGTTTTCAATAATTAACAGCAAATTTTCATTCAGTGTATCCAAATCAACGGTACGTAGATCTTTAAATATTTCTTCAATACTGTTTAACAACATTGTAGTAGCAGTTCTAACTGACGCTTGATTTTTAACATGTCTAACACCTACATTTTTAGTTACTTTATTGCGTACAATGCTATTCTGTTCAAAATAACGCTTCTAATTCAATATACAAAAAACATTATACATTAAACAAACAACTTAAATACATAACACATACAACAATATTTTAGCTCCAATTATTACAAATACACACCTACTCATCATACTGCTTCAAATCCTAACATCTCCCTAACTATCCAAACAATTCTACAACACCCAATAATTTAAATTTAATAATAAATCATTTCAACACCCAATAAACCCTTCTAAAACATCCAATAAATCATTTCAACTTCGACAAATTGAAACGAAATTAACCAGCTCACCTCAACAATCCGCCGCCTTCACATCGCAACTTCACTTCAATGCCTTTCGTCATAGCAGCAGCTTTTCACCCAGAAATCTTCGGTAATATCCTCGGATAATACCCTGAAATCCCCGGGATCCCAATTTTGACATAATAAAATGTTACGTAGAACCAGGAGAAAAGTAGGTGGCAGATATACATGGTTACAAAAAACCACATTTATTGAAGCACAGCACACAAATAGTAAAATATAGAACACTGAAAACACAACACACAGAATGAACAACTTGTACTTATATATATAAAGGATGTTGTTACTACCATATAAGGTACACTACACATATCTTCATAATTTTAAATGTTACCGTTATTTTGTGTAACCCCTGTAGTTTATCTCCCCAGGCCAAAAAACGTTTAGTGTCTCGCATTTGTCATAATAAATAATCTAATACATTATAAATTTAACTACTGGTGGGGAACTGGCATGTTTTAGAAAAAGGAAGAAAAATGCTTGTATGCTACAGAGGAGTTTGTTGGACAGGTACAAATTCCTAATCCAGTCCCTTCAGGTTTCCCTACCAGCCGATTTGCTACTCGCTGTTTAACGACGCCGCACTGCTCCAAAGAAGTAGAAGAAGAAAGTCCGGAATTTAAAAAATAAATGATTTACAACTTATGAAACGTTAGAAAAGGTTTTGGAATGGGAAATACGCAACCTTTTGAAGTAAACCAAAAAAATGCAGAAACCTTTGTCTCCATACGTATTGTAAAACAATGAGAAATTACTCTGTAAATATTCAATATAACTTGCTAATCAAACTTTACTGTGCATACGTATGGCAGTCGCTGGTTCGTCTGAGCGTTCCTTTTTGTCCACAAGTCCACGAAGTAATGAGGCTCTTTAAAACTTTTTCACGGATGTTAAATTTATTTTTCACATAAGGGATATAGAGAATATCGTACTATTAGTAGTGTTGCTTACTATTTCCTGTTATCTGGTAAATGACCGCGCATACTGAGGTAATAGTAATGCAATTGTTTTCTTTCAGTA